ACTCATCTCTCCCTCCCCCCCTCCCCCCTTCCGTCACACCACAAAAACCAAGTTTCCTCCCCGCCCATGCCCTCGTCCCTCCCTCCCCCCCCCCCCGTCCCATCTTCCTCACACACACACACACACACACACTCAACTCATCGTACGCCCCCACCCTCACTCTCCCCCACCCCCACACCCCCACACCCTCTCTCCCTCCCCCTCCCTGCTCTCCCCCTCCCTGCTCTCCCCCTCCCTGTTCCCCCCCCCACATCCACCGTTTCTACTACCTCACCCCCCTCACCCTCCCCTCCAGGACATGAACAAGGAATCCACGTCGAAGACAGAGGGCAAGCCGCGGGGTGGTCGCCGTGGTGGTGGCGGGCGGAGGAAGACTCCTGGTGGTTCTAACAGAAGCTCCCCGGCGTCATCGGCAAAGGCGGACCGTCCGCGCTCGCCCCGGGACTGGCGGAAAGAGTCTGGCGGGAACAGTGGTGGTGGCTCGGGTGGCGGTGGCGGTGGTGGTGGTGGACACGGTTCGCGTCGGAACCATTCGCCGGCGGGTCGTGGTGGTGGCAGTACCGGTTCTGGTTCTGGTGGCAAGCGCGGCCCGCGTCGCAGTGGCCCTGGTGGGAACAAAGGTGGCAGCGGCGGCAAGCATAAGCAGTCGCACTCGCAGCAGCAGCAGCAGCAGGAGCCGCTGGACCCGGTCAAGGTCAAGGAGCGCGCGCTGAAGGAGTACTTTGACAAGTTGCGGCCGGAGAACTTTGACACTTCGGTGGCGCTGGTCGAGACGGCCAAGCTGGACCTGTCGACGACGGCCGAGGTGGCCAAGTTTGTGGGCGCGCTGCTCGACAAGGCGATGAGCTCGCTCAAGGCAACGCCGACGCTGGCGCACCTTGCGCGGTTTATGCAGTTTAAGTCTGTGCGCTCGATGTTCCCGCAGGCCCGCGACGACAGCCAGGCAGTCCATCTTGTGCTCAACGCGCTGCAGGACAAGATGATGTCCCGCCATGAGCTGGGCCTCTCGCGCCGGCAGGTTGTGGGCCTGCTTGCGCTGGTCGGCGAGCTCTTTAACGTCAGCGTCCTCTCGCTCGCCATTCTCTCATCGATCTTTGCCGACCTCTCGCTGTACTTTGCGCCCGACGCCGCTGCCCGTGCCGCCGCGCTCGCCGAGAGCAAAACGGTGATGACCGACCGCCAGACGTGCGACATGGTGGCCGCCTGCCAGCTCTTCCTTACGGTAGGCGCCAAGCTCGACGCGCCCGACGCCGACGAGGCTGCGCACGCGCTTGCCGAACACGTCTTTGTCGGCCTCAAGCTTGCGCAGCGGGCGCAGCTCTTCGACGCCAAGGTCAACTGGCGCATCGGCCAGGTCTGTGAGCAGCGCGTCCGCGGCTGGTCGTGGATGCGTCCGCCGCGCACACGGTCCAAGGTCAAGATCTCCGACAACACCTTTGTGGCGCCGCTCCTCGACCACTGCACCCCGCATGCTATTCAGCGGCTGCAGTTCCTCCGTCCAGTCGCCGCCCTCGGTCAGCTGCTGTATGTTGGTGCGCCGGCGTCGGCTCCGCTCGATCCCGCCCAGCCGACGGTGGCCCAGCTATGTGCCCAGGCCACTACTGAGCGTTGGGCCAAGCGCACCGCCGACATGGCTCTCATCACCGCAGTCGATAAGGTCCAGGCCGAGCACGAGCGCCGCGTCGCCGAGGCGGCCCGCGCCGAGGCCCAAGCCGAGGCCCAAGCCAAGGCCAGGGCCGCCGCCGAGGCCAAGGCCCGCGCTGCTGCCGAAGCCAAGGCCCGCGCGGCTGCCGAGGCCAAGGCCCGCGCGGCTGCCGAGGCCAAGTCTCGCGCTGCTGCCGAGGCCAAGGCCCGTGCCGATTCTCGCGCCCGCACCGCCGCGCCGTCCAAGCCGCACCAGCCGCTCATCCCGCCGTCCCGCTCTGTGGCGGCGGCCAAGTCGGCCGCCACGCCGGTCAAGCCCGCAGTCCACTCGGCGCTCCTCGACGACGATGAGGCCGAGCGGCAGCGTCGCCGTGAGGAGGCGCTCTCGCGCAAGATGGCCGAACGGTCGGTGGCGACCGCGCGGCCGACTGCCGACACGCGGACGACCAAGCGCGGACGCATCAAGTACCCGATCGACGCGCTCATCAAGATGCAGTTCTCCAAGGCTGTCCGGCCGGATCTCATCGACACTAGCAGCTTCCCGCTCGACACGCGGCCGCCGCCAGGCTTTTCGCTGGCGCGGATCACCAAGCCGGTCTTTGGCGCCGGCGAGCTCGCGTCTGCGCGCCAGCACGGCGGCCGCGGCGGGTCTGGCGGACGCCGGTCCGGTGGTC